TCCTGTTCGGTGTCTTCGTGTCCTGTCTCGTCTGATGTTCACCTGCACTGGATTCCCTGTCACCCGCTCTGGAATCACCATCACCTGCACGCTGACCACTGAGTCCCTGCGCCACCATCTGCTGTGTTCCTCGAGATTGTCTTTGTGTCTTCTGACTCCTAATAAAAGAGTTAACTTGCATTTGCTTCCGCCCTGTTCTTGTGACATTAAGAGTCAGGTCATATTTTTTCATTAACTGCCCTTCGGAAGCTACAGAAGATTCTTGCAAGATTGTTGCAATATTTACTCCAATCTTCAAATTCAAAAAGTTTTCACCCCCCGGCTCTTAATGCAGCGTTTTCTTCTGGAGCATCAATGAACGTTTTCAGTTTCACCTTCTGTAATAGTTGTGTATCAGTCCCTTATAAATCATGCACTCATTGCTGCAAAAAATTCAAATATGTAAAAGTTGCTGGAAAAAGATATGAAACTAGTATGTTTGCATAGTGTTCATCTTGAAATGTTAACATATTTTGCCCAATGTGTCACATTGTATTGTATTTGACAATACTAAGGGACTGTTAAAAAAAAAAAAAAAAAAAAAAACGGAAAAAGTTGTATGCCGTTTGCCAATTCATTTTAATACCTACGTATATGAAGTATGCAACGAAGTGCCCAGAGGTTTTGGGCCAATGGTTGCCGTCTCGACTCTTTCCAGACAAAAAAAAAAACAGTTTAACAGTTATTATCTAGTTTTCAATTCATTTATATTTTAACCCCTCCTTGACATACTTTATAAAAGAGCACATAAGACATTTCATTTATTTACATAACATTTTTGTTGAGTTTATGTGACAATAAGGTATAGTTTTTATTGTGGTCTGATGTTTTGTTGTTATTGGTATATGAGGTTTTATGTTACTAAGACGATGATGTGTTCAGTTCAGTCTAAGCTATATTTCCTTTTAGGGAAAGTGATGCAATTCATTTCCAATAAGTAGTGTCTGGAAATAAAGGATTTGGGTGATTTATTGATTTTACCCAAAACAATTGTGTAACCACATGGGGTGCGTTTCCCAAAAGCATTGTTAGCCAATACGGTCGCAATTTCAATTGTCACTCCTGGTTGAAGAGCAGGGAAGAAAATAAAGCTGGATCTTTATTTCCAAACTTAAAACTCAACACAACAGGATTCTCTGGATCAAAACACGAATGGAACAACCAACTTTCACAACGAATACCAAACAAAGACTGACAGAATGCAAGCTCATAATATCAAACCAATCAAAGCAATGATTAACAGTAACAGGTGTTCAACTTAAACAATGAAAACAAACTAAAGAACAGGCAAACTCAAGACTAAAACACAAACAAACCAAACATAACACTGACAGATATCACCAACGTAAGTATAAAAAATTCAGTCATTTTGACAAAAGAAAACCCCAGACAAACAAGAAAGCACCTATACACTGTAAAAAGTGGTAACCTGCATTTTGATCATAAAGATCAGGGCCCGTATGTATAAAACTTCTAAGAAATGCTCTTAAGAATAGTCTTAAGCTTTGACTTAAGTGTCAAAAAATACTTAGTAAAAAGTAGGACTTTTCTAAGAGTAGGATACTTTTATAAAGCAGCTAAAAGCAACTTTCAGTAAAGTATAAGACTGATTCTTAAGTGCTGACTGAAGTGGGACTTAAGTGCTGCAAACTAAGGACTACAATGATGTGAACCCAAAATGGCCGCCCTCACCCTCTGAATCAGCCAATAGTGAGCCTGCAAGGGTGAGGTCACAGCAGCATGACACCAATTATTTAATGCAATTATAATAAAATAATTTAATTAAGACACTGAAACTTTAATATTTAAATGTATTTTTTTAAATGGCTTTGCATTGTGCAAAATTATCACAAATTAGTATTGAAGGAAAATTGTCAGATTCACCCTTTATTCAAATAGTATTAAAAATGTGTTCAATATTTTGTAAGCATATTGTGTTTGTGCCTGGAGTCAATTGTTTATTTGTGATAACACAATGAAACATTCCAAATTGTACAGACATAATTTTTACTCAGGCTTTCATACAAATAAATTATGAACAGGTGAAAAAACAAGAGAGGACAATGAAATATTAAGAAATGATTATGTTGCAGACAATGTATTTTTTTTTCTCCTGTGAGCTTTTTAGTTTTTCTAAAACCTGTAGCTGTAGTTTGCCCTTATTTGTCACTTAATATTTAAAAATAATATTGATCTGCCTGCATTGACACCATTATATGAGAACTGAACTGAGCTGGATGATGACATCACTGTTTTCACCAGAGCGGCTGTAGAGATAAATGAACTAAATAGATAACTAATGATTTTTTACAATGGAAATGAATGCTTTAGCTTAAGTTCTGCTAGGAAGACTAATATACCTCCCTCATACCTCCCTGGGGTCGGCTGCGCTCTGCCTGCGTCTTCAGGCAGTAAAAACAGATTGCGTTACCCTCTGATTGCGAGCTACGCAACAGAACTTTATAACACAATTCTTGCTTGCTGGGCTGTTAATAAACTTTGTCACGTCATTTTGCCTCCCGAGTCTTTCTGGTTGAAATTAATAAACACTGAACTTACATAAGCAGGACAATGACATTTTTTTCTTCTAGAGCTGCTGTACAGCCAAGACTAACTTTGTTGCATTATTTTCCTGTAATCTCTGTAAAGCTGCTTTGAAACAATCTGTATTGTAAAAAGCACCGTAGAAATAAAGGTGACTTGAAATAATTTTGTCAGATAAATACTTTCACTAAGTTTAGTGTTATGTTCTTCCCTCATATTTTTAAATATTAAAAAAATATAAATATAAAAATATTTTCCTCATAATTTGATGGTTTAAGCAAACTTGTAGGGTCATAAAAAAAAAAAAAACCTCTGCACATCACTTTTGGCCACCACTGTATATTTGGTGTGGTCAGTGTCACAATAGTGCTATTCAAGAGCCTACTAACTGTGGACTGAAGGGCCCGAGTCATCACAGGTGCACTGCTGAATTCCAGTCGCCAAAAATATAAATAATACTTTAATTTCATTGCTATAAAACTTTTTTTAAAAGTAAGTTACAAAAAGAATACCTTGATGATTAAACTTTTTTATCGTTTGATCAACTCATTTTACTACAATACATCATATTTTCGTTGAAAAGTGCATGGCCTAACCTCTCTGCTGCCATCTTGTTACTCCTAACTAGGTTAGGAGACCTCTCCAGCTCTCTTAAATAATTTAGGAGCTGAGACCAAGTCTTAACACTTAGGAACCTTTATGAATCACACTTACTCTTAAGTTTAGGAATAAGAGTAAAATTATGTAATTCTTAGAATTTTGACAGACTTGAGACTAAAATTTTACTCTGAGTGGCTTTATACATACGGGCCCAGTTCTTTTTATTGAACCCATAACTATTTGTTTTGCTGGTTAGTTCATTTAGATGTTACCATTTTCATCTAAAATGAAAAAAAGCTAATTTGTTGATTTTAGGGATGACTGGGCAGTTTTAAAGGAAAGAAACCATGTGCCAAAAATGCTCAGCACATGAAGAAAAGAAAAGAAAAAAGGAAGTAAAATTAGGGTCTATATTTCAAATCAAGCTCATGTGGTGGTTACACAATTGTTTAGGGTAAATGAACCACCCAAATCCTTTATTTAAAGAACTACGGGACACTTCTGTCATCCTTTACTCACCCTGGTGTTGTTCTTATGCCGTATTGCATCACTTTCCCTAAGTTCTGCATTAGCACTAGACTAGACAGAAGTGAATCAGTCACTCCATCAGACGACACAGCAGACTCTGATCATTTTATACATACTAAACATAGTCACATTTTTAGCAATAATAGGTGAGATTTCAGGAATCTACGTAATATATAAAATAACAAATAACAGACTTTATTTAAAGGGTTGTGTATGACTTGATGGGCTATACTTTATGCTTCTGTCAGGTTTGGTTGAAGCAAATACCAAAATAAACCAGATTGAAGTGCAGCAGTCCAGTGTTTAATAACAGAAAACAAAGATGACAAAATACTCAGTGAACTCTTTAACTAGAGACACAGGAAAGGAACAACCAAACTTCATAAGACGAGATCGGACAAAGAACTGAACAAAACACAGGGCTTAAATAACATTGAACTAATCAAGCAAAACAACATCAGGTGCAGCTAATCAATCAGTAACCATGGAGACAAATGACAGGGAAAAAACAACACAAATGCACATAACACATCAGGACCCTGAGAGCTTCATTCCTTGTGATGAACTTTATAACGTTCAATCAGAAATGTTGCTGTACTTTAGGTCTATTGCAGATCTGAAACCGTTTTACCACAGAAATGAGGATGAGGTAAAACACATCTCTAATTCAATCAACTGAATGAGTTAACATGATGAAAATTAGAATAAGAATTAGAAACTAACTTAAGGTTTTTTTTTTAAACCATTCTGTGGTTTTCTGAAGTGGATTTCCGTCTGTACCACCCAACCAACAAAACTTTTGTTCCTTTTCAAAAACCATGACAAACATGATCAAGAGTAAATCATCTCATAAAATCTAGTATATTCTGTTAAATAATGAGCGTAAAATATTCTTAGCTTGACTGTTGTTTGTTAGATTGACTGATGTTTGTCAACATGAATGTAACGTAAAGCAATATATAACGTTCAAAAGTGTGTGTGTTAATATCCAGAGTTTATTAACATATTTCAGTGTCAATAAAAAGGCCTTCTACTGTGCGCCGTGCTGCACATTTGACTGGTAAAACTTGACGTGTGTAATGCTGAGTGCTGTAGAGAGTCTTCTGGTTTAGGTGTGTTTATCGTGTCTTGATCGTCTCAATGCATTCATCCGCTCAGAGTGTGTGTTTTCTCACAGCTGTGGGTTAGTCGGCTTCAACTCTGGTCTGGTTTATATGTTAAGATCGTGTACAGAGTCACACACTGTGGAAAACATCAACGCATCTGAAGTGTGTTTCCTGGTGTCCTATTTTTATTCTGCAGTAGCAGTTCTGCTAAGATTTATAGTAAAATATTTTATTGGATGTAAATTAAACACTCACAGTATGAGGACGGCACAGCTTTCACTCTTCTGTAAGTTTAAGTTAGTGTACTTTTACTGTGATCTTCACACGACTGGATAGTTTTGAAGGCTGACGGTATTGTGTGTTTTACTGTGTGTGTTTTATCTTCACAGTTCTGCTGGTGTGTCAAACTACAGAGAGTTTAAGAGATAAACGGGTGAATTTAGGGGAAAATGTGACTTTAGACTGTCAGATTGTAAAAGAGATTTATTGGGTTTTCCAGAAACCGACAGATTCTCCAGCGCTGATAATGCGGACTTTCTCATCACATTCTACATCACCTCAATTCTTTGACAAAAGATTCAAAGACAAATACTCATCACTAACTTTGAGCCGGTTATTTATTAGTAATGTAACTATTGATGAATTAGGAATATATTATTGTGTAAAAACAAACCCAATACAGCTCAGCAATGGCACCAGACTTTACATCACTGGTCAGTGTATACAATTATCTTTGATCTGTTGTTATATCAATAAATGATCTAAAATCATGCACATTATGTATCAAATTTGTATTTAAACCTTTATTTTTATCAGGTCTGTGTAATATTGATGCATGTTTGATGTTTCTATGAGGATTTTGAAATGAGGATTTTGATATTAAGCCATTTTTATAGTAATTATTATCATTTTTTTTGTTTTTGTGACATGAATTGTAACTGTCACATGACTGGTTTTTGTCATGTTACTTGCATTTGTCATGTGATCTTTTGTGTGTGCCTAATGAAGGTAATCATCTGTGTCCATTTAAAGTTGACTTCAATCTACTTGTGATATAGTGTGTGCCTAATTAAGGCAATTATTTGTATCTATTTAAAGTTGACTTCACTCCATATGTACAGTGTGCCTGATGAAGACCTGAGGGTCGAAACGTTGCTTGCTTTTAATAAATTTCTTTTGGAGCAGTATTTTTCAGTGTGCGGACTTCACACTTCTTTATTTTGATGTTTCTAAACACAAAACTGTTGTATTTTCTGTTTTTAACAGTAGCTGTTCGAGATCAGAATCAGACAGAAGTGAACAATAACTCACAAAGTCCGAATACACAGCAAACTCTGATGATGTTGTACTTCATACTGAGCATTGTGATGTTTTTGGCCATGGCAGGTGAGATTTCAGGGTTATATGTATCAAATAAAATGATATACACTACCGTTCAAAAGTTTGGGGTCAGTACGATTTTAAATACTTTTAAAAGAATTCTCTTCTGCTAACCATGGCTGCGCTTATTTGATTAAAAATACAACAAAAATCAGTTATAGTATTAAATATTATTCCAGTGTAAATCAGCTGTTTTCTGTGTGAATATATAGTAAAGTGTAATTTATTCCTGTGATCAAAGCTGAATTTTCAGCATCACCAGTGTCAGTGTGTTCAGTGTCAAATTATCCTTCACAAATCACTATAATATGAGGATTTGATGCTCAAGAAACATTTATTATTATTATCAATGTTGAAACAGTTGTTGGTCTGTCAGTTGTACAGTTTTTTTGTTTGTTTTTTAGGATTCTTTGATGAATAGGAAGTTCAAAAGAACAGCATTTGTTTGAAATAGAATCTTTTGTAACATTATAAATGTCTTTACTGTCCTTGATAAATAAAAGTATTGATTTCTTTCCTCCAAAAAATAAAAATAAAATTCTCACTGACCCCAAACTTTTGAACGGTAGTGTAGAGGTCTAATTTAAAATATCTTTCTTTTAAATGCTAAATGCTACATTCCTTTAGTGATGAATTGTATAATGTTTAAGCAGAAATGTTGCTGGTATTTTAGGTCTATTGCAGATCAAACTTCAAGTGTGTAAGAAAACACACCAACAATATCAAGATGAGGAACTGGAGCAGCTTTACAGCACAAATGACGACGAGGTAAAACACATCTATTATTCAGCTTTCTTTATCATTGAAAAACTAAATTCTATATGAACATTAGCAGCTAGTTATTATTACTATTTTGAAAAAATATTTCCATAGTTTTCTGAAGTGGAGTTTCGTCTGTCCCATTCGACCAACAACACTTTTGGAAAAAAGCCTAGACAAACATGATCAAGAGTGAATCCTCTCATACAGTCTAACAGAAATATATTCTGACAAATAATGAGGAAAATATTGTTAGCTTGATTGTTGTTTGTTTTAGGTTGACTGATGTTATAGATTGTTTATTTAAACATGAATGTAATGCAAATTTCAGTATTGTTTCTCTTTGTTTTTTTCTTGAAAAGTAAATTCTTAGGAATTCAATTTTTGTAATAAGTTGCTTTTGATTTTTGGAGTGTTTTTATGTGAACTAACAATGATGGAAAATGGCAAAGAGCAAAGGCAAATATGTATAAGCCTAGAGTATATACAGGGCTGTAGCCTTTGCTTCATTGATGTGTTATTGGCCTCCGATCAAAATGTATTAGTACCATTTTTTTACAGTCTATAATTTGTACACAGAAAAGTGTTGCTTACATTTTTTATTTTCAGTAATATATTACTATTATACATACATGAGTATACATTAAAGTATTAGTTCATGTATTCTTCTAAATAATGAGAGTAAAATATTGTTAGCTTGTTGATTGTTTGTTCAAGATTGACTGATGTTTGTTTCCTAAACATGTATATAATGCAAAATACTCTTTTTTTTAAAGTGAAATATAAAGTATAAAATATACAATTTGACCTTTTAGCTGTGATAGTCAGATGTGATATATCATGTAGGCTAATATTTGTCACCTGTACTTTGAATAATTATTATTAATAAACTTTAAAATTAGATTTAGTTAAGGTGGTAATAATATAGGACTTGTGTATTTATGAAATGTAAAACTATAATTGAAACTTGAAATTGATTAGTCTAAACAATCTGTGCATGTATCTAACGGACTTTGACCTATTTAATAGCAGTAAACAGTTTGGTCAGTGCAAGTTCAACTACATCCTCTTTTCAAGGGTGTCTGGTGGTTTCCTTTCTGTTTTTTTTTTCTGCATGCAGTCGCACTTCCGCTCAGATTCATAGTTGTTAACCTTCTTACAGCATATGAGCTCAACAACCACAGAATGAGGACGGCGCAGCTTTCACTCTTCTGTAAGTTTAAGTTACTCAATGTACTTTCACTGTGATCTTCACACGACTGGAATTTTTTGAAGGCTGACGGTATTGTGTGTTTTACTGTGTGTGTTTTATCTTCACAGTTCTGCTGGTGTGTCAAACTACAGAGAGTTTAAGAGATAAACGGGCGAATTTAGGGGAAAATGTGACTTTAGACTGTCAGATTGATGTAAAAGAGATTTATTGGGTTTTCCAGAAACCGACAGATTCTCCAGCGCTTATAATGCGGACTTTCTCACCAAATTATACATCACCTCAATTCTTTGACGAAAGATTCAAAGTCAAATACTCATCACTGACTTTGAGCCGGTTATTTATTAGTAACATTACTATTGATGTATTAGGAATATATTATTGTCTAAAAACAGGCCCAATTCTACAGCTCAGCAATGGCACCAGACTTTACATCTCTGGTAAGTATTTCTAAATCACATTTACAACTGACATATAACATGTAAATATTTGTAACTATAAAATATCTAAAAACAAATGATCTATGTTACTGCAATAGCCTAAATGTATGTGCTAAGCCTTACATATAACTCTATCAAAGGTTTTTAATCATATTTGGCATTAAAAACACAAAACTGATCAAATTTTTCTATTCAAACAGAAAACAAAAATCAGCCACAACCACACAGTGAGAAAACACCTACGACTGACAATATTCTGACGGTTACATCCTTCATATTGAACATTGTGCTGATTATCGCAATAATAGGTGAGATTTCTGTACAAAAAAGTAGTATAAAAAACATGATAACATGTTCAAAATGAATCTGCCCACTTATTTATAGTCATTTGAATTAAGTTTAGTGTATTCCTTTATGAAGAGTTTCTATGATATACTCAAGTACTGTTTTAATGTATGACTTTAGGTCTGTTAATACTTAAACTTAAGAAGCCCACAAAAAGTCGACAACATCGTCAGAATGTCAAACCAGTGCAGCTCGAGGACTTTAACACCGCACAGGTAAGACTTACATTTCTATACGACTCACTTGACATTTTAGTTCATGGAAATTTTTTTTTTCAAAATTTCCAGCTAAAAATGCAAAAAAGGTCTGACTCTACAAGTATTTTATTGTAAACAGGAGATAAAGATATCAAACGTTTCGGCTCTTTGCCTTTGCCAGTGTCAAGATTTTCCAACTAAAATGTCAAGTTATTCTAGTGTTTCTCTAGTAGCTGAAGATGTCTCGAAACTTGTGAAATGATGGTGACTCATTTAGTGACTTTGACAATTTGCGAAACATCTTTAAGCAACAGTAAAACATGTAGTTAACGAAAATAACTAACAAAATCAATCAGATGTGTTCACATGTGAGGTGAAAGGGCCTAATTTCATCTTTGTTGTTCTCTAGTATTCTGAAATCGAGTTGCCAACATATTCCAGAGAAGAAAATCCCAAACAGATCAACGGCACTTACGCGCTTCTCCAGCAGCCAAAGCCACATTATAGAGTTAAACACAACTTGAACCTACAAAGTTGTTGAGGTGGTTTGACACCTTGGTTATTTGGTTTTTTTTTTTTTTTTTTTGTAGGATGTGTAAAGGACAATGAGTTTCCGTCACCGTTTGCATTAAATCATATTATTTACTTATTTATAAAATGCATATTTTGTTGGATGTTGCTACCAAGTAATCTTAGACATGTTAACAGATGAATCTTGACTGATGCGGTTTCAGTTTACAATAAGGTTTGATGCGTTAACATGAAAAAACAATGAACGATACTTGTATTAATCCTGGTTACACTGTAAAAAGCGATCAGTTGACTTAACTTAAAAAAAGTGAGGAAACCTGTTGCCTTAAAATGATTAAGTTGACGATAGACAATTCCACATAACTTAATTTTTTCAATTACGCATGAAGTTTATTTACTTAATTTTAAGGCAACGGGTTTCCTCACTTTTTTAAGTTAAGTCGACTGATCACTTTTTACAGTGTAATGTTAGCGTAAATACATTTTTAACATTTCACATTGTATGAATTGACATCAACAATAGTACATTTAAACATTAAATACTACTAATATAAAATAACAACCTAAACTAATAAATTGTTAAAATTGTTTGTTAGTTCATGACACTTAATGCATTAATTAATGTTAACAACTTGACATTAGTTTTACCAATACGTTTTCAATAAGCAAAGTTTATAAATGACTGTAATTTTGTAAATTTTCTGTGGTTTATTGTGAGTTTTGAATAAACTCACAATAAAAAATAAAGATTATGTAATTGTTGCCCCAGTCTGGTCAAGTTGGTATTTAACTAGTCTCAAAACCTGATCAGCTGATAAACCAAAACCATCAAACTAGGCCAGAAAACCATTAGAAAAGTTTAATAAAAGTGGCAAAATGAATCATGAATATATCAAACAAAGTAGAAGATGGCAAGAAAAGCACATGCATGTCTAGACGCTGGTGTTTGTGCAACATTGTTGCAAGTTTTATCACGTTAATGTCATGTGAGAACATTGGTGAAAGTGCCACTTCCTGTTTTTGAACAGAGAACAGCAGCAAAAATGTCTGCATGCATTAAAGTAAAAAAAAAAAAAAAATTTGTTAAAAGGTCTGAATTTTAAGATAGTTGCAATGCAATTCTCTCTTGTTTCAGACAACAAAGTGTTTTACACAACAATTTCAGTGTTTTACACTTTCTGTACCTTGTTTGGCTCAGTAAAGTGATGCAAAGTTGTGCACTTGTGACTCAAAGACATTAAAACTTGTTTTAAGTGACGGATGGAGTTTTTATTTGAGATACACTTACATTTGTACATTTTCTATGATAACACAATGTTTCATAGGTGTTAACAACATCTATACACAAAAAACAGTCATACTTAATATGTAGTTTTCCACTTTATAGGTATATTCAATGAAAATGACATCGCAAATTAAACAAACAAATGTACATAGGAATGGTGTAATTACACTAAATCCAGTATTCAGGAGCACAATCAATTGAACAACAAACAATAAATACAGTTAAATTTCAATTCTTTACATACTAACATCAGATTTTCCTCTTCGGTTGATTCACATTATGCAAATCCCCAAGATACGCTGATTAAGAAGCATCACAAGCAGTTTTATTTCTCTCTATCTATCAACAGGCATCAATAAATAATCTTTATTTGTGTGTTTGATGGTGTCAAAAAGACAAAGCATTTATACAATAAGCAATTCTAGTGGTGCACACACACATTAAAAATAAAACACACACACACATTCAAATGCACTTCAATACTCAACACAAAATGGAATGGGGTTTGACGGACTTCATCAGTCCATTCGGATCTTCTGATTGGTCATCCTGTAGATGATGCTGTCGTATCCTGGATCCATGTTCCAGAGGTTGTAGGAAACAGCGATGACGGCTAAAGCTAACACGATCATCAGCCACAGGACGATGTTGAAGACCACAGCGTACTCGAAGTTGTACTTGTAAGCCAGGTTGTAGGGGCTTCCTGGGTTACTCTGAAACAACCACACGCTAGCATTCAATGTAGGTCAGCGTTCAAAAGTAGGTCGGCTATGGTGGTTTCTACAGTACCGTATCTGCCTTTTTGTTTTGGACCAAAACAAACAAGTTATGGGTTGAAAAGGTGATGGTCACTAAAGCTAAAAACAATTGCTACTATTTCTAAAAGGAATAAACACGCTAGTGCTAGCTAACCAACTACTGCTGTCTACGCAATCAACTTTAAACGTCTTACAGAAGTGGTCCTCAATCGACTCTTTCTTCTCGTACCCTGACGAATAAAAATAACGCTGGAAATGTGGACCTCATCCAACATCAGCACAATTTTATGTACACTTCATATCATTGTTTTTCTATGTAGAAATGTTTGGGTTTATACAGAAACTCACGATCTGCTTGGACTCGAGGATGGAGCGTGACTTCCTGGTCAGAGGGGCTTCAAACGTCTTTACAGTCACGACTTCTACAACCGCGTTGTTTCCATAGACGCTGGAGACGTCGTCTGCGAACTTCCCACATACAAAACACAAAAAGATTGCACTACAAGAATACTAAAAACTTTATATTAAAAATGAATGTTATAAATAATGAAATTTAATGAATATAATAACGAAAAATAATGATCGTATGTTCACGACAGAGATAAATAAGATAAATGTGCAAATATCTAAATCTATTTAAATACTTTAATTAATTTGTCATAGTAGTTCTTTAGTAATTACATCACGGTCTTTAATATTTTTGGCTTAAGTTAATTAAAATCATTTTAATCTAACACAATTTTACCCAGTAAGTGCGTCATATTTCAGCCTAAAATCAAAGGGGAAAAAATATTATTCTGAGTAAAGAAAATAAAGCATTTTATATATATATATAGGGGTTCACAAAATTCACGGTTCGGTTCGATACGATACACTTGTGTCACGGTTTGGTACGTTTCCGATACAGCAAAAAGAAAGAAATGCCAGAGAAATTTCCTTGATTTAATTTTTTTAATTATATTTTTATTAAAACTAACATCATAAAGTATGATATTTTTTTAACTTTGAGCAATGATGGAGCTACTTGACTTTTCTTAGGAGCTTATAAAACAAAACAGCTCCTTGGACAAAATGAAATGTAATATTGTAGTAGTTATAAACAAAGGTTTATTTTAGTTCAGATTAACATTTGAGGGCAGCAATTGTATTCATAATGTCAAAATAAAACCGACGTAATGTTACTTGAAAGCATTATAGTCTACTATTCCTGGCAAACTTCCATGGTTACAGTTAGTAGTGTTACTACAGTAAATCCATGGTGAATGTTGCTGATCTGTGGACACTGAATAGTTCATTCATGGCACAATGTTTCATCCTGGTTTCCACGTCAGCGCTGTTTGATCCGTTAATAACGGAGAAATGTGAATGTGTCTCACTATATCTCTCAGCGATGTTATTACTTAAGTGGCGAATTCAAATGCTTTCTTTACTGGATTTGGCTGTGTAGTGACAGTGCTGCTTGATCAAGATCGGCTCGCGCTGCTTTGGTCCAAAGTGATAAACGGTCCGTCAACCACACAATAACGAGTAGTTTCGTTCCGCTTACATTACATTTGCCATTTGATGTTGGGAAATGTTGTGGTCACGCCAGTGTCTCTCACATTATGAGCGCGCTTGCCACGCGCAACGCGCCTACATTTGAAATAACGAAATTTTGGTCGGCAGGAAAATTGGTCCAACAAACCGTTTGGTTCAAAAATGCGTACCGAAAACCGAACTGAAAGCCTCGTACCGAACGGTTCAATACGAATACGTGTATCGTTACACCCCTAATATACATATATATATATATACACACACACACACTATACTATACTATATATATATATATATTAGATAGTTTTACTTTTTATTTTGGAAATATTTTAGTCACATCATCTGGAAAGTATTACTTTCTATTTTAAGCATCATTAAAACATCTGATAAACTGCAAATTAATGCATGTCAAAAAAATCTTATTGTCATCCTAACATCTTTTAGCATCTTCCATTTAAAGAATGTTGAATAAAACATGCCTGCAATAAAGTTTCTGAAATAAATTCTGTAATAAATAGTAATATTTATTGAAATAATGTACAGCACTATATTTACAAGACGTCATATAAGTCTCAGGTGTCCCCAGAATGTGTCTGGGAAGTTTCAGCTCAAAATACCCCACAGATCATTTATTACATACAAGTCCCAAAATGCCCCTTTTTGGGTGGAAAAAAACACGCCGTTTTCATGCGTGTATCTTTAAATGCAAATGAGCTGTTTCCCCCTCCCACTTTCCAGAAGAGGGCGGAGCCTTTACAGCTCATGCCTCGGATACTCCAGCAACAACAAAACAGGAGAAACAGTATGGAGCCGTTTCCACAGAACATGTTTTTCCATTCCACTGCGCTGCTTTTTCATTATTCTCTATGTAAACAAGCGATAGATGGACCTTGAGTTTTTTCTCCCATTCGGGACCATTCACCCACACAACGCAGTCAACACAGGCAGTGAAAAACGCAAAGTGTCGAGATGCATTTAAAAGTTGGAACTTCTTTTATCTTGAGCGCTGCGTTTTTAGAACGCTGTAAGATGCGAGCGCAGCGACAAACACGTCCGTCTAGCGCGTTTACATAGAAAAGCAATGGAAAAGTAGCACAGTGAAATGGAGGACCTGAGATGACAGACACAAGCTCGGTACCTTCTGCAGAGCAGACGTCAGGATCCTGGTAGCGTCCGCGAACTGAGGGGAGTCTGTGCCGTAGCGGCGGGTGATCTCCTCCAATCCCGCGAGCTCGAGGGAGTACAGGTCAGGAGCCGGGTCTTTAGCCAGATGCTTGTGTTTCTGCAGCTGTAGCAAACAACAAACACGCTTCAATAACACAGAATCAATAAAGTTGCTGAAGAAACTGGCTACATAAGACAAACAAGCAGATTCAAAGATAGCCACATAAACAAAACAACAATTATTCAAACTAAGAAACAAAAATTAACCCATAAAATTGAATTGAAGTGCATTAGAGAAACTGACCAGAGTTGAGATGTCATATAGCACCTGAACCTCAGACAGGAACAGAAGATCAGCCTGAGAAACACAAGAACAGGTATATTTAGACCAGCCTCTTGTTTGTGGTGGGAAAAACAACAACAGCACGCATCTACTGATGTTTCGATACGCAGCAACTACTTTCACATGTCGATAATTTCAGCCAGGCATAAGCCACTTCCTACTTTGGCCGAAAAACTGCTTCAGTAACTGTAACAGTCCATATCTGCATAAAGTGTGCATATACTGTGTACAACAATACATAAATAATTAATTAAACGTATAAAAGACCCACATAAATGTTACATTTATTATATATAGGTATTGATTGATTGAAATTTACATGACATTTTCGGACAAAGTAACCCTCAGTTTTGTGGTTCATTGAATTATGTATATTTGTGTTTCCGTGCTGGAAGGTTAGCTAATATGATGGAGAGGGTCATGTGACCACATCTTCACCTCGTTATTACGGCTGAGAGAGCTGAGAGGAAGGGACGTGAGGACAGATCCGTCCTGGGACAGACGTCCACGGATCTGTTGCAGGGTCACGGGCAGATCCTCAAAAACAGTGTTGGCCATTCCCATCATATACAGCCTCTAAAACACACAATATCAAGACATTTACTGATATTCGACGCTTGCGTATTAACAACAACTGTGACATTCTGGTGATTACCAAAAAAAAATGTTAGACTCGTCTATCAGTTTAAAAACTCATTTAATTTAATTATAAATTAAGATTGTTAAGCGCTTTGGGTGTACAGTAGTACATATGAAAGCGCTATATAAATGCCTCATTCATAAACAATATCTTTTTTTAAATAATTTATATCTTTTAATATCTTTTGTTTTTTTATTTAATAATTGTACTTTTTTATCTGTTAATACTTTCAATAAATAAATAAATGTTACATGTTGGGAAGTCCAATGAAATGTTCTTTATTGTAGGTCTCATTTCATTACTTCAGACGGGTAAAGCATTTCTCGCGTGCATCTTTATTTGCAGAGCAGATAAGAGAACTGTGTGTCATCTATGTGTGGTTAGTGTTTGAGTCATAATGAAGCAGACATTCGGGATGGTCATACCTCCTCACTGGGGGCGAGCTGCAGGACCACAGGGGTGCTGTCAGCAAACAAAGTGTGCACAGTGTTTGCCACACTGTCCAGAGTGAATGGAACCGGCTGGAACGAGATAGACAGATAGATAGATATTTAGAATGGATGGATGGACAGATATTTAGACAGAGAGAGAAACAGACAGATAGATAGGTTAGATCGACAGACAGACACACACAAGACAGAAAGACATATAGACATATAGACAGATAGACAAACAAAAAAAGACCAGACAGACAGACAGAAAGAAATAGATAGACAAAGAGAAAGAAAGATAGATGGTCGATCGATCGATCGATGGATAGAGACCGACAGACAGACAGACAGACAGACAGACAGACAGACAGACAGACAGACAGACAGACAGACAGACAGATAGATAGATAGATAGATAGATAGATAGATAGGGTTGGGTATCGTTTGGGTTTTATCCGATTCCAGTACCTACTCGGTATTTTTTAAACGGTTCCGGTGCTTAAACGGTTCTTAAATCGGTACTTAAGAAAATGAAACCGTACACACTTTATCAAAAAATAATACCCTTTAATTTACAGGGCCAAACTGGACACAATATTAACTTAAATCTTTAAACAATATAAATACAAGTAACATATGGTAATAATAAAACCAATATAAAATAAAAATTCATATTTACATAATATCAAATGAAACAATATTGTATCAAACAATGTAATAATACTGGAGATTAATAGAGATTACTAGCAGGCAGAGCTGCCAACTCTCACGCATTGACCGTGAGACTCACGCAAATGACCCTTTTCACACAGAAAAATCGCGGACAAAGAGGACACGGACAGACAAGACAGAGAAGGTTACTTTTGATATGGAACAAATCCACAGCTGTCAGATTCTGTCAATATTTTTACGAGATTCACACAATAAATAACGTTTTGGCTCTTTGAAATGTGACAGATCGCTGTAGCGCGTCAGTTCAAACGGCACGTGATACAGCAGCCTACAAATCCACTGCTTCTTAGCTACGCAGCGTTGAGTGAACCTATGAAAGAGAACATCTCTGGTTACTGGTGTAACATATCTCTCAATAGGGAACGAGACGCTGCCAAGCTCCTCGCGCTGCCGACCAGCTTCCTATTTCGGCAAAGAAATCTGAGGAGCAGATGGCGCGCGCGCGCCAACATAGTATGACGACGTAAGTGCGTCGATGCGGCGCCCGCGCCATCAGCCAATGAATTGGCTTGATTCTATATGGGATTCAGACTATCGGCACACCCAGAGGGCGTTCTGACACGTAATTTTACACGTGAAATGCAGCCAAACCTTGCGAGAAAGAGCGCGCTTGCGAGACAGAAGAGACTGTGCTCCAAACTGTGTAGCACACGCACGGCGGAGAGAGAGAGAGCGAGAGACCTTGTGTGTGTGCGTGTGTGTCTAATGAAGTTAGGCACCGAGATCAGGCACCGAAATTTTCGTTCTTATTCGGTCTGGTTACTACCGTTTACGTCGGAACCGGTTCCCTATTGGCACCGATTTTCGGTACCCAACCCTATAGATAGATAGATAGATAGATAGATAGATAGATAGATAGATAGATAGATAAAGCCCCTTTCACACAGCGCTTTGAACCCGGCAAATTGCCAGAGTGCCTTCTGTGTGAACGCAAACACGACCCGGGATTGATGCCGGGTTGGGGACCTAGTTACATTGCCGTGTTCAGACCCGGAACGCGCGCTGTGTGAACAAAAGCCAGAACCAATGGCGTATAAGGGGTGTGTCGTAGTGATGATTCACGAGCCTTTGCAATGACGTAGTTATCGTGCGACTCAGTTACTCTAGAAGAAAGTTTGTGTTCGTCATCGATACAAGAAAGAACGAAAACATGTCTGCAAACTGGACTGAAGTAGAGACCCGGCACATCCAACGTCACGCGTCTTTCCGGAACATACACGGGTTGTGTGTGAACGCGCTCTCTGATTCCGGCAAATCACTGGCAGTGTGAATGAAGCAAAATCAAACGAACCCGGGTCAAATCCCGGGTCACTTTATCCGTGTATTTTCCGGAATCTCTGTGTGAAAGGGGCGATAGATAGATAGATAGATAGATAGATAGATAGATAGATAGATAGATAGATAGATAGATAGATAGATAGATAGATAGATAGATAGATAGATAGATAGATAGATAGATAGATAGATAGATAGATAGATAAAGTGGCATTAGTCTCATGATAGAAAATAAGAGAAGTCTTGTGGGGAAACTACGCTGCTACTTAATCCTGAAACATCCTGATTTTCTGAATCTTACCATTTTTTTTACTGTGCTGAACAATTATGTACTGTAACTTCATCCTCTACAGTTAAAGACCTGGGTGTTATATTAGACAGCAACTTGTCTTTCGAAAATCAAATGTTACAAAACCAGCCTTCTTCCAACTCAGAAACATCGCTAAGCTACGGAACATGCTATCTGTTTCTGATGCAGAAAAGTTAGTTCATGCACTCATGACCTCTAGACTACATTACTGTAATGCATTACTAGCTGGTTGTTCTTCATCCTCGATAAACAAGCTACAATAAGTCCAAAATGCAGCTCCTAGAGTTCTTACTAGGTCAAGAAAATATGATCATACAACACCAATTTTACTACCTCTACACTAGTTACCTATTAAGGTACGTATTAATTATAAAGTATTGCTACCGACCTATAAGGCCCTAAATGATTTAGCTCCTGTGTATTTAACTAATCTTCTATCGCCTTACAATCCATCACGCTCTTTAAGGTCACAAAACTCTGGGCTTTTGTACCTAGAATATCGAAGTCCACTAAAGGAGGGAGAGCGTTTTCACATTTGGCTCCTAAACTCTGGAATAGCCAGTTTCTCACTCTCCCAGTTTAAATCTATATTAAAGACACATCTCTTTAGCCTAGCATTCATATAATGCATCTCATAACCTTATACAGTTATATCAGATCAAATGCACATGATTATTCCTGCTTAATGTTATGAGCAGCAGCTACGCTAATTATTTTCTATTTGCTTCTCTGTTTTATCTTGGGATGCCCATCCTGAGGTAACTAGAGAGTATGTCAGCTCCAGTTTGGATCCAGCCTCTTATGAAGACTTCAGATGCCCAACACAAGTGAAGAGACGTCGGCAAACCCCGCAAAGACTTCAGATGACGCAAGCTCTGAATCAACATGCACCAATGCTACATTTTTCTAAATCTCAGAATCATTCGTTAACAAACAAGTATTCATTACTTCAACGAGCTCATTGTTTCTGCATTAAATGATTACATTGTTTAAATTAATACCTTTTTCACTAACTGTGATTTTGTATATGTATATTTCTGAAATACATAACTTAGACAGTTACCTCTGATTACAGATCACTCTAAATTGTAATGTGGACTGTAATGAAATGATGTGTATTGTGAAAAGCGCTATACAAATAAATGTGAATTGAATTGAAATTGAATAGATAGATAGATAGATAGATAGATAGATAGATAGATAGATAGATAGATAGATAGATAGATAGATAGATAGATAGATAGATAGATAGATAGATAGATAGATAGATAGATAGATAGATAGATAGATAGATGTGGCATTAGTCTTATGATAGAAAATAAGGGAAGTCTTGTGGGGAAACTACGCTACTACTTAATCCTGAAACATCCTGATTTTCTGATTCTTCATTTTTTTTTTTTTGGGTCTAAAGGGAGTTATTTTATTTAACTTATTCAACTGGGGTTGAACTGACAACCTACATAAAAGCAAGAAGTGAGAGAAAAACACGCACCACAGAGATTAAAACAACTCAAGCTTGTGAGAATGAATCACTCACATTTTCGAGAGGGTAAGAGGAAATGTTTTTCGGAAAGTCGAGGCTGTCCATGCCGCGCACGACGATCAGAGCGTTTGCACGCGGGCGTTGGAACAGCGAGCCGGCCGCCAGACCAGGCCAGTCAAGATCCTGCTCAACAAAACCACAAGTTCACCACAGTGTTTACATGAAGCCATCGTACGTGCCATTACACAATTAAAAAGACATGATACCTCACGAACGGAGAAGCCCATGGTAAGGGCCACTAAATCAGGGATCTTTTCTCCTGATATGGGCCACTGTCCATCCCGGAAGGTCACGTACTGCGGGCTGCGCAGAACGGTCAAACTGTCACCCAAAACACCTGAGGGAAAATCACACAAACACAATAATGATGTATTCTCAGTCACAAGGTTTCTTTGCAATAAATGACACTTGCTTCGACATTTAATACATTTAAATTCAATTCAAATAAAGGAATAAAACTTGATATAAATGAATACATAAATATACAGTATTACAGTAAGTAGAGGGGAGGAAGCAAAATAATGCAACATAAAAGAAGCTAAATATTTTCCAAATAATATTTTACACATTTTCATTTTAGGATGCACAAGAATAGTCATATTTGGGTCTCCGTGGCATTTAAAAGACTGAAATACAGTGTCCTAACACAATTATCAGTATAAACTAACATAATCATAGTATTGATCAATAAGTAGGATTTGTATAGTGAACCACCATGACTGTCACATGACATGCTAGTGCTTCCTCATTCACTATCCACATTTATCACTGAAAGCCTTTTTATTTAACAGCCTAAAGCAATATAATCACAATATCGTACGAAATTCACATAAATTAATTATATTAAATAATTCCAATTGTATAGACGAGAGATATTTGATCCATTAATATGACTGCGGATTATGGCATCTCACTGCAGCCGCCATTATTTCATTAAACAAACGCCAAAAACACACCGACCCGTCAAAATAATACCACGTACACGTAAAAGAAGAAGTATAACGCATATTTACCTGATAAAAGTCCTAAAAGCGCAAATACTGTGTTCATAACTGTTCGATTCATTTTGGAAGGATTTTCTGATGGACTGCTCTTCCTCGTAACACCGGTCACATGACCCAGACCAGCCGTGTCGCGTGACGTCGTGCGTCATGACGTTCCGGTGGGTCCCTTAGCGCTTCAGCTTTTAATGTGTGACTCTTAAAACTTTAATTAATTTGTTCACTAATGTACATTTTCTAAATATATATTTAAAATACTATCAAGTCAAACTATTAACATAAATTAAGCTTTTACCAAGAGACAAGTAGGCCTATTAATGATTTTGTATTGTAGGCCTACAAATAAGTTTTGTGTCTATCTGTCTATCTGTAGGTGAATGACCTTCAAACCACAAGGACACGTGACAAATATGATTTAATAACCTTTTACATCCTATAACCTTACCTATGAGCTATATACATATATAGGCCTGTCTCATACACATGCTACTTAAAACATAATTTACAGTATTTTTCTGATTATTTAAATAATAGCCTATTGTAGGCAATATAAATTCTGTAAGAATTAAAGCAATTATTGATAAATACACATTTGATTGAATCTTTTCTATAAATCAAAGCCTTTCTAAAAGTGTGCACAGAAAAAAAACAATACCGAGGTTAAACGCGCAGTTATTAGATCTTTTGAAATGTTTAATTTGCATAAAATGTATGTCTATTTTTATTTTATTTTATTATTTGAAACAAGCAAACAAAATGCTCTTGCAGTTCCAAGCCCCCTCTTCAACCTTGCTGCTTGTGTTGTAATATCATAGTTCTCCGCTTGGAGGAGCTCTTGCTCCGTCACTCACCGCTCGCACCGCTCGCGTCGATCTCCGCGCAACAGCGATCATTCACCAGCCAGACAGAGCCTGTGAGATTACTTACACGTGCATTCAAATCAGACCGTCACCATATGTTCGGCCAAAAAGCCTAAAATGAGTCATGACATAATTCAAAATAAATGTATATCTCGAAGAGGTGACAAATATTAATTTAATAATAAATTGAAAATAAAGTCTGGGTGGAAAGTGAAGTAAAAAAAAAACTGCATCTAAATATTAAAATAAAAAATATCCATGTCTAAATTAGCTTCAGATTCTAATCAGATTCTACAAATAATAATGAATCAGATGTTGCTAATATTGGGTAATGCAATTAAACGTAAAAAAACAAAACAAAAGGAGAGACGACTAGCCTAATGTAGGCCTAGTAAAACCATGTAACCAGTCAAATATGGCGAGTTGATGCACAACTTTTTTAATTAACACCAAGAACCTTGAGAAAGTGTATATTTTAGGTGTTCGTGTTTTAGGTGGACACCATTTTGTAACATTTTAAACAAAACTAACAACATTTCTTTAAACAAATTTTCCATGCATATCTTTCAGTTTATCAAAAGCTGTATGCATAAATAAACATTTAGAGCTAGGCTAATTTTTTTAAGAACTAGGAAACTGCTGTTTAAAAAGTTTAAGGAGGAGTAGGCTAACATGTTCAATTAAACGACTACATGTTCAAAACACATACAATCATCCTGTGCTTTGTCAAAACCATCCACAGCATAATCCATTTAACATGACCGCTTCGAAAGCAAACCGTTCCCCTTTCTTGCCCGCGGTGTATGTGTGTGTGTGTGTGTTTAGTATATTCCGTCCCGCATACAGTGTTGTTTGAGGTCCGTTCTCGCCCTGAGCGCGGGACTGGAGCGCGCCGCCGATCTGACTGCTGAGCGCGACCCCGTGACACGCCTCCTCTGATTTTCACATTCCATTAGGTAATTCAATAGCAGACAATTAGACTGACCCAGCCATTGGCCCACCCAACGGGACACTGCCGACACAATGACCCTGATAGGGCAACGTTGCAGAAGTCTGGAGTTCTGTGTCATCCATCTGAGCCTGTCAATTATTAATTAGGCTATAGTTACAGAGAAGCGCAAGTTATTAGATAAATTAATGTTGTTGTTTTTTTTAAAAAAAAAATCATAAATAGCCTATATTTTGAATAAAAGTTTTTTTTAGGTTTACTCAGCTGTGACCTAAACAAAATGCGCATTCTCGTAATCATGTGATACCAAAAAGAACAAAAAAACATTTATTATTATTATAATTTAAAAAAAAATAGGCAGAAATGTATTTATTTATATTATAGGTATAGCTATAATAATAAAACACCCGTATGCCACTTTTTTTGTAAAAAAAGATTTTAGTTTAAAGTTTTTTTTCTAGTCATTTTGTATCATTTTTTATTTTTATTTGTTGTTTTAAATATTATTATTATTATTATTGTCACTATTATTATTGTTAGCAGACATTTATTTATTTATTTAACATTGTACCAAGCCAAGTATGCCAAAACTTTTTAAAGTATAGTGTTTTTCTAGTCAATTTAATTGTTTTAATTATTATTATTATTATTGTCATTAGTGGTGCTTGCCTATGGCAAAGCAACACTAGTGTTATTGTGCATACTTATTATTAGTGGTGCTTGCCTATGGCGAAGCAACACTATTGTTATCTCACATACTTATTATTAGTGGTGCTTGCCTATGGCGAAGCAACACTATTGTTATCTCACATACTTATTATTCTTCTTCTTCTTCTTCTTATTATTCTTCTGGCCACTTTTTGACGCGCTACTCCTCCCGCAGTTTTTGTCACAGACCCATGAATGAGGTGTCAAAACGTGCGGCCTGTTCGGGAATGGTGTGCTATGACTTTTCTAAGAGATCGGGGGTACGATGGTCGCCCCAGGGGCGAAAAACGGCCCAAAAAAATCCCATAGACTTAACATTGCGAAAAACTTTGACGAGCCGTAGCTCGGAACGAGGATGTCGCAGAAACGTGAAATTTGCCACATTTGAAGAGGCTGACAGGCTCTGTAAGAACATACCACACAATGGGGTAAAAGTTGCACCCCTGAGGGGCAGGAGGGGCCCAAAGTTGCCCCATTGACTTACTATGGTGTAGGACGGCCCATGAAATGCATGTGTTTTTCCTACTATGGTAAATTGCATAGGGATTTTGTATTGAACATAGCTGTGGATCACAGTGTCATAGAGACAAGGGGGCGGGCTCATTTTACTCAGACAACCAATCAGTCTCTCAGGATCATTGTGAAGCTATCAAGCCACGCCCTAGCAACCATTTAGAGCACCTTAGCAACAACTCCCATAGACTTCCATTGAAAGAGATCGAAGGGATATCTCTGGACTGAATTGTCATAAAAACATGAGGGTGGGCTCGTTTGACTCGGGGCAGCAAACAGCCAATCATGAATCACCTCAACACTTCCTAGCCACGCCCTAGCAACCATTGTCGAGCACCTTAGCAACCAAAATCCAAAGAGAAATATCGTCCATTCTGAATGTCACAGAGGCATGGGAGTTGGTTTATATCATTCATACTGACAAGCAGCCTTTGGAGTTTCATGATTGGCAGCTGCCAAGCCACTCCCTAGCAACCAAACAGAGTACCCTAGCAACCATTTTGCAAGACCTACATCTCTGCATCAGAACATCGTATAGAGATGGGGGTTGGTTTATACATTCACATTGACTTTGGAGCTTCATGATTGGCAGCTGCCAAGCCACTCCCTAGCAACCAAACAGTGTACCCTAGCAACCGTTTTGCAAGACCGATATCTCTGCATCAGAACATCGTATAGAGATGGGGGTTGGCTATTTTGACTCATGCTAGCAAACAGGACTTGCTACATGCTACACATGCTAGCAGTGAATAGCTACATGCTAATATTGATTAGCTAAGTGCTAAATCATGCCAATAAAATGCTACAAACTCAACAGTAACCATCTTTGACAACTACCAACCACCTAGTAACACCATAGCAACCACACAGATTACCCTAGCAACCACCCAGAACACCCTAGCAACTGCCTAGCAACGCCCTAGCAACCACCCAGAACACCCTAGCAACCGCCTAGCAACCACCCAGGATACCCTAGCAACTGCCTAGCAACACCCTAGCAACCACCCAGAACACCCTAGCAACGCCCTAGCAACCACCCAAATTACCCTAGCAACCGCCTAGCAACCACCCAGGATACCCTAGCAACTGCCTAGCAACGCCCTAGCAACCACCCAGAACACCCTAGCAACCGCCTAGCAACCACCCAGAACACCCTAGCAACCAACCAGAATACCTTAGCAACAACCTAGCAACACCCTAGCAACCACCCTGAACACCCTAGGAATGCCCTAGCAACCACACAAATTACCCTAGCAACCGCTTAGCAACCACCCAGGATACCCTAGCAACTGCCTAGCAACGCCCTAGCAACCACCCAGAACACCCTAGCAACCGCCTAGCAACACCCTAGCAACCACCTAGTAATACCTTAGCAACCATGCTAGCAACATGCTAAACATGCTAGCATCATGCTAGCAACATGCTAATCATGCTAGCATAATGCTAGCAACATGCTAATCATGCTAGCATGATGCTAGAAACATGCTAATCATGCTAGCAACTAGCTACAAACATGCTAGCAACAGGCTAATCATGCTAGCATCATGCTAGCAACATGCTAATCATGCTAGTAACATGGTAGCAACATGCTAATCATGCTACAAATATGCTAGAAACATGCTAATCATGCTAGCATCATGCTAGCAACATGCTAATCATGCTAGCATCATGCTAGCAACATGGTAATCATGCTAGCATCATGCTAGCATCATGCTAGCATCATGCTAGCAACATGCTAATCATGCTAGCAACATGCTAGCAATATGCTAGCAACATGCTAGCATCATGCTAGCATCATGCTAGCAACATGCTAATCATGCTAGCATCATGCTAGCAACATGCTAGCAACATGCTAAACATGCTAGCATCATGCTAGCATCATGCTAGCAAGATGCTAGCAACATGCTAGCAACATGCTAAACATGCTAGCATCATGCTAGCAACATGCTAAACATGCTAGCATGATGCTAGCAATATGCTAATCATGCTAGCATGATGCTAGCAATATGCTAATCATGCTAGCATGATGCTAGCAATATGCTAATCATGCTAGCATGATGCAAATAATGCTAGCATCTAACTAAAACATGTTTGCAACATTCTTATTTTTGCTAGCATCATGCTAGCAACATGC